GCGTTGCTTGCCATCTCTTGCTTTGCTGTTGCATCGCTCCCAGCCATCGAAGCAATTGGTGTGTGTGTGTGTGTGTGTGTGTGTGTGCGTGTGTGTGTGTGTGTGTGTGTGTGTGTGTGTGTGTGTGTGTGTGTGTGTGTGTGTGTGTGTGTGCGTGTGTTGTGTGTGTGTGTGTGTGTGTGTGTTTTGAGTGTGTGTGTGTTTTGAGTGTGTGTGTGTTGAGTGTGCGTGTGTTTTGAGTGTGTGTGTGTTGAGTGTGTGCGTATGGTGCGACCCGGAAGGCTTGATGCCATCAGCAATAATACTCGTTGTTGTTGAGCGCCATTCACGTGTTCACATCGCCCCCCTCCCCTCTTTTCACTAACCATGCCACCATGTTTATCAGATCTTTCGATCGCAAGTGAGAGCGTGGTTGCTTACGCACCACTAACGGTGCTTCTCTCGGATGCACCGGCAGGCACCTACAACGTCACACTCGCGGTAATCCCCATGGCTGCGCACCATCACCTGCTTTCTGATCTGTTGTGTCTTGCTGCCTTGCTTCATGAGCCACCATTAGCCGCGTGCAGAAGTATCATGGACTCCTGGACACACGTACTCACTCACGCAAACACGTACCCGCACACGCACACACACACACATTCGTACGTCTACACGCACTCACTCATCGACTGCATGCTTGTCTGCTGTTGTTCAGCTGTATGCTTCCTCCGCTGTCACCCATGTGGAGACTTTCGCACTGTACGTCTGATCATCCCCGGATGCCTTTGTGTTGGAGCCGCACTGCTGCTTGTTTGCGTTGCTGGGCTCTGAACTGCGGAAGCATGTTTTGTTCTCTCATATGCACACGCGCTGCGCAACACGCATGCGCACTTGTGTTCTTGTGCGACATGCACGTGCAGGCCGTCCTTCACTGCCAGCAAAGAGATTGTGCTGCCTTGCACCTCCGTACCGCAGTCTGCCCAATACACGATCAGCGTGTATGACCTCAGCACGAGCAATGATCCCATCTCCAAGTATGTCGTACACATGTGTGTGCATATGTGTGTGTATGTATGCTTCTCGTGTAGTTCACGCATAGATGCGCTGCCCATCCTTTCATTCACACTGTCCGTCACTCTATTTACCTCACCTCGATGTGTTACGACTTGGCCGCCACGACAGGCAAGTCACCGTGTCCCCGCCGCTGTTCCAGCTCTTCCTCTCCGCGTCCTCCATCATCGCCCGCACCACTGACATCCAGGTGATGTACCCAGATGGACGTGCGCGAGGATGTGCTGACAAACCACGCACGCGCACATGTGTGTTGCAATCTCCAAGTGGCGATAATCCCCCGCCCCCCCCCCCACACACACACGCACGCACGCACACACACACGCACATACCTGACCTGTTGCTTCCCATCACACAACGACTCCCTCGTGACCCACCACTCAAAACCAACCACCACCACCACCCCACACTGCAGGCGACAATGACGTTTCCAAAGTGCGCTGGCGCTCCCCATTATCTGCGCGTGCATTACGACGGAACAACGGATGACCAGCTGCTGCATGAACAGGTGGCGACACGTGGCAGTGGTGTGTGTGTGTGTGTTTGGGTAGATGAGCTGACGCGTCGATTGTGATGTCACGTGTGAGTGCAACAAAGCAACATAATGCACGCATCTGCGCGCTCTCACACACTCTCACACACACACTCTCTCTCAACGCGCGCGTGCATACACATACCCAAAACGCACACCCACACTCCCACATAACACACATATGCACTCACGCCCTCGTAGGAGTTTGATGACTCGTTGAGTGATGGTGGCGAGAGCGCAGATGTGTCGCTGACCCTGACCATCCCAGGTTCTGTCTTCTATCGCAATGGCACCTTCCACATCGGCCTGTGGGATTCGTTACCGTTCTACTCGTTTTCTTTGGCGCGCGTCGTCAAACAGGTCTCCGCCCAGGTACGGCTGGCGTGTGTGCGTGCGTGTGTGCGTGCGTGTGTGCGTGTGTGTGTGTGTGTGTGTGTGTGTGTGTGTGTGTGTGTGTGTGTGTGTGTGTTCGCCTCTCTCGCTGTCATGTCATCGCATTCTGCTCTCACGCCATCTCCCATCCTCGTTCGATCTCCCCAATGCCTCGTTCCCCCCTTCCAAATTCTTTCTCTTCGCTACGGCGCCAGTGGGGACTCTTCGGCGTTTCGGTCCAGAGCTCCACCGTCACGTGCAACACATTCAACTATCCCGTCGTGTTTCCTTGTCAGTCCCTTTGACATTGCATGTGTGTGTACTTGCTTGTGTGTTTGCATGTGTGTGCATGTGTGCGCATGTGTGTGCATGTGTTTGCGTTGTTGCAGCTTCCGCCTTCAGGCACAACCTCACACACACACACACACTCACACACACACACCCTCACAACCTCACACACACACACACCCTCACACACTCACTCATACGCGCACGTCATCACGCGCTTCAGATTCGGCTGCCAGCACAGGTGAAGACGATTACATTGAGGTGTTCACGCGCCATGATTCCGTCGTCAACAAGACGCTCCCGTTCGCAAACACGGTGAGGCCATGACGGTGGTGAAGGGAGGTGGCAGTGGTGGCGTAAGTCAAGGGGCCCTGTTTTGGGATGCCTGCAAGCACGCTTCCTGCGCACCACACATGTCACACCCATCTTACAAGCGTACATCGGGCCACTGTTCATACCATCACGTTCCTCTCATACCACGTTCCAATGCCCCCCCCCCCTTACTCCAATTGCCTGCCTCGTGCACAGGCGTTCGCTGGCATGGTGAGCATGACATGTGGCGAGCTGACATCGGTCCTTGGCGTGAGTGTGTCCGGCACCGTCCGCGTCCGCTACGTGATTGTGTCGCTGCCGCCCCCATCAACACCACCGACAGCTGCTGCCCACGCCGCCTCATATGTGCCTGCACAGGCAGCGTTTCACCTCGACTTATGTGAGCAGGGATCGTGGTTGTTTCATGTGTGTAAGTGTGTTATGTACATGTGCGTATCTGTGTGTGTGTGTGTGTGAGTGTGTCGTGTACGTGTGTGCGTGTATTTGTGTGTGAGTGTGTCGTGTACGTGTGTGCGTGTATTTGTGTGTGAGTGTGTCGTGTACGTGTGTGTGTGTGTATTTGTTTGTTTGTATGTGTTGACTTGACCAACTCACGCTACGTTCCACCGTGTCTCACCCAACACACATGCAACACACATGCACCATGCACACCATGACCACCATGACCACCAGCGCTGCTGATTGCAGACGCGCGGTTGACGCTTTCGCCTCCGTTCCCGATTGCGCTCGAGCCCTTCACTGTGCACTGCTCATGGGACAGCGCTCCCAACGCCACGAGCTACATCAACATCGATGGCACCATTACTGTCAACGAGACCGCAACCACCATTGCACACGGCGACAGTGTTCACGTGAGCTGCCAGGTGTCTGTGGATGACGTTGTTGTGCTCCTTGGCCCCGTGCTGCGGCCGGTCTGTCCAGGCTCAGATGCGTGCACGGGTGGCGTGACGTTCCTCTCTGGCACGTGCAGCCTCGACACGGTGACCGTCTGTGCACCATGCACCCAACCCAATGGCACGCACTACATTGCGCAATCGTGTACGCCCGACGCAGACGCGCGCTTGGAAGTGTGTGATGTCTGTGATCCAGGACAGCAGATTTCGCACACATGTACGGGCACCGTCAACAGGCAGTGCGAGCTCTGTCCTGCCTCTACGTTTTCAAACACGACCAACACGCTTTCCTGCGCGCAGTGGACAGACTGTCCACCCGGCACGTTTGTGCGCACACCGCCCACGCCCACATCCGACCGCGTGTGCGGGAGCTGCGACGGCGTGACGGGCTTCTCAACCGAGGTGGGCCTTGGAAGAGGAGGGGGATTAGAGATGCTGTTGGTTGGTTGGTTGGTTGGTTGGTTGGTTGGTTGGTTGGTTGGCTGGTTGGTTGTTGTTTAAGTTGTTTAAGTTGTTGTTTAAGTTGTTGTTTAAGTTGTTTAAGTTGTTGTTTAAGTTGTTGTTTAAGTTGTTGTTGTTGTTATCACTGTATGTGTGTGCGTGTGCACGTGACCATGTTGGTTGCTGCCCCGTGTTTGCTGCACAGCATCACCCAATCGCGCACACACACCCAATTACACACTCACACACAACCCCCCCCCCCCGCTCTCAACACACACTCACACACTCACACACACACATGCACACCTCCCCTCCGCTTGTCCCCGCCAGAGCAATGTAGTGTTGTGCACGCTGCCTCGAGAATGCCCGGGCGTGAATGCGTCCATGACAGTGCCGCCAACACCGACATCCGACCGCCTGTGCGAGCTGCCACCGCCCATTGCATTCAGCGCCCTCGACCCCATTGTCCGCATCTTTGGCTTCAACCCGCTCGGTACGCCCTTCCCGCCGCAGGTCACCATCACCAGCGATCACGATATTGCTGCCATCACGCTCGCGCCCCCGCCCCCAGCCACGTTCAAGATTGGAACGCTCCTGGCAACGGTCACAGACACGGCCGGGCACGCTGCCCAATACGCATTCACGGCGTCGACAGGCTCGAGTGACGGTGACTTTCGCCCCTTCCCCTTCACCCTGGACAACGCGCTGCGTGTGCGTGTGTTGGAGCCGTCACCGCTGGCGGAGGAGGTGGCGTTCAACATCACGACGCTGGCTTCGGAGATGCTCGGCATGTATGATATTGTACTGGCTGGCGTGCTTCGCTCCAACACCGCCAACGAAACGCACAATGAGGTGCTCCTTGCTTCCCTTGTCCCCACGTACAGCGGTGAAGGTGGCAGTGCTGGCGGTGAAGGTGCTGGTGGTGGTGGTGGCGAGCTTGCTCCCACGCACGGGTGGGTGGCTCCCGCGACATTGGCGAATTTTCTGTACACAAAAGGCTTTCGTGCTTCAGCCGCACAGCAAGGTGGGCAGCGTGCTCTGTGTGTGTGTGTGTGTGTGTGTGTGTGTGTGTGTGTGTGTGTGTGTGT